GTATTTAAAGTAGAAATGAAACCAAATCAATACAAGAACTACTTCAATTTTATTCAATGATATTCCATACAATACAAGGAGGATCTGATTCAGAAATAAAGGTAAAGATTGGTAAAGCAACAACAGCATTCCTACAGTTAAAGAACAAATAGAACTCAAAACAACTGTCAACCAATATGATATTCAGAATCTTCAATACGAAAAAACGCTAATTAGAATGCAAAAATACTTAATGTAATTTTTATGCAGTATAAATATCAAAGTTAGAATGTTCAATACCAATGTCAAGACAGTGCTACGGAATGGAGCTGAAAATTTGAGAACTACTAAAACCATCATCAAAATGCACAAGTATTTATAAACAATTGTCTACGCAAGATAATCAACATCCACTGGCCGGATACTATCAACAACAGCCTTCTGTGGGAGAGAACAAACCAGCTTCCATCTGAAGAGAAAATTAGGAAAAGACGTTGGAAGTGGATAGGACATACATTACGGATATCATCAAACTGCATCACGAGGCAAGCCCTAACTCAGGATTCTGAAGGGAAGCGGAGAGAATGGAAGGCCAAAGAACACTGCTTCAGAATTGGAAGCAGACATGAATAGGATGGATAGTAACTGGGGTGGATTGCCCGGTACAGAGTTGGATGGAGAATGCTGGTTGGTGGCCTATGTGAAAAAGTCAGCTTTTTAGAAATACTACATTCACAAACCTTTTACTAATGAAATAACTGGTCACTTGCTAAGCAACGAGATTATCCTAGTGTAACGTATTTGAAATGTTACCACACTCAAGCCTCCATTGGCTCAGCGTCTTAATTTCACGTTAAATTTGTCATCGTTATATTATTCTGGATTGCTTCATTAATTAAAATCAGTGGATCTTAAGTACTCACTGAGTTGTTGATTAGCTGTTTCTCATTCTTCCCTGTTCCAGATTCTCATAGACGTTAATCTGAGGATACTTCTTCAGAATAAAGGAAACCTTCAGATTAAACAATCTACCACAGTCTAAACGACACATGTCTAATAAGCTTTCTCATACTACTCTTCTACTTTATAATGGTCTACTTATTTAGTGAAATCGATTAAAAACACTACATAAAGAAATGAAGTATTCAGTGTCCAAAAATTTCCGATATGTTATAACTTGTCAATTGAATGCTACTTGTTATATCTAGTCATCGGTGATTGGTATGTCGGAAACTTATCACTTATACTCTAAACGAGGGACCTCTACAATACCCACGACACGAAAGTAAGAACACGAAGACTGGTATAAGTGAAGATTTATTAACGCCCAAACACGATGACGACGACTCGAGTCGAAAATACACTCATTTATATATTGATTGTACACCCATTTTGATTAATAATTAGGATGAAAACACATGTATAAAAAATACTTACTCACTTAGGCCTGTTACCCTGTTACATAGTTCATGTCAATTAAATACAAGAATATCGTATATTATTCCGAATACAATGTCATATGGGGAAACAAAACCGAATACTACACTAGATTGAATCAAAACGGAAGTAATGTTGAACCAAAATTCATAATGAGTAAATCAATCGAATCTTGACTTTTCTTCCCGTCATATCACGATACAAGTAAACATTCGAGTTAGGTTAGTTTCCTTACTTAACATAAGGAGTAAAATCGGGTATATTGCATAATAATTCTCAGTTTAAAAGACAAAACTATATTCACCATATTTATCTGTTACTATGACTAATATTGCAATCATCCCTATTCCTCTAATTATCACATTGTGGAATCTCTCAACTAATGCTCATATGAAATGTGGTTAGAATGGGGGTTCGTGGAGAGCTAAAGTGGACCGCATGTGGGACTCGAACCCAGGACCTTTGGTCACGCGCGCGAACGCCTAACTTGAAATGTAAAAATGTCAATTTATGCCAAATCTTATGATCCTTACTACTAACTGACATGTCTGAGTCTAATCTCATCGGTAGCACATACAAACCACTTCATATATCACACACTGTAATTTTTATATTTACCACGATCACTAATACTCGTCTGTCAGTAAACTTGATAGTAGTAAAGGAGTTTCAAAACAGATGACACATCTTAATCCAGCTATATTAAAGCTCACAGAAGACTATGAAATATTGAAAAATAACTGCATAAAACTAAAATTAATATACCATAAATTTCAACAGAGTCCCACAATAGGACGAAACAGCCATCCAGTGCTTCCAGATTTTCCATGGTGGTCAAGCTTCAATTGAATCATGATCTCAACCATTGAAATTACTTCAATATCCACAAAAACCCCTCTGACATATAAAATGGTCTATGATTATTACACAAAAAAATACACTTTATCCTAGAAGTCGTCTAGTACATACAAACAACTTCAGCGAGAACAATCAATAGATATTGAACATAATCTTCCAATGTGTCAATTACGTGAAAATCATCATACAATATTACCAATGAAATCAAAACATATAACTAATGAACAACGAGTGACTTTTATAATAATAACCCACTCTTCAACGATCTTAGTACACTTGAAATACTATAGGGATAAAAAGAAGAGAATACAATGACAACTCTAATTTGCAGTAAATTAATGAATGTATATTTATTCAGATATATATATCTATTCATTATACAATTGGTTTGTTGTGTTAATGTATTCGCCATTCAAATCAAATGTCATCAGTGAATTGAAAATTAAAGAAAAAGCATACAATATTAAATAGAGTAATAATAATAATAATGATAACTATTATTATCCATATGATTTGGAGCATTTAAGTAGTAATAGCAATAATAAGTGTTATTATAATGCACTAAATTGATAAAAATAGTTGATTTATCCATAGTAATTATAAGCTTGACTGATTGTTCACTAAAAATGAAGTGTAAAGCATTGTTCAATTCAACCCCATTGAATAATAATAATAAGAAGTAAGATAGAGATAGAGGGAATATGAGGTAAAAACTATCAGGAAAGAAAACAAATAATTAAGAATTAAAAGATAAGAAAAGAATTAGAGAAATAAATATACAACATGTACAAATATGGTTATTTCATTGTCATATTCATGTGCACACGTACAGCTGTGTGTGGTAGGTACACAAAGGTATATACATATGTGTATATATATACCAGTTACCATGCTGAACTAATAACACTCTATTTGTGCATGATCCAACGACAATAAAATAACACAGAAGACAGTAAGAATTTCATTGAAAAATCAAAGTATAGTAGAAGAAAACAAGGATGTAATATTGCTATATATGTGTGTATATATATAAGAATAAAGCGAACACAGTAAACATCATTAGGAGAGGTATGGTTTCACACAAACACACATACACACACACGAAGTAATGATCAAAAGAACACAACAAAACAAATATAAGATAAAATTTTATTTTTCCTATACAAAAATATATGGATAGTATATAAGTGTAATGAGCAATTTAAAAATAAGCAAAATGAGAACAACATACATAAACATTCCAATTGAATAAATTCATAGAATATTAATGGAATGTACCAATACTTGGTTATAGTTTATTATTATTATTATTGTATAATTTGTATAATATGTATCAGCAGTACAAACAATATACATGAATAAAACAAATATCCATTCACAATACAACAAAACATTGTATAGAAATTAAAACCAAAGAGAGGGGGGAGAAAGGAAGGGAGAGAGAGAGAGGGAGGAAAACAATACGAGATCATAAACATAATAATCCAAGCATAGATACATTTATATGAAATGGATAAATATTAAACGGGAATAACCATTCACCAAAACCGAAAAGAAAATATATCATAAATGTGAATACATCATCGAATAAAAAAAACGAAAAAAAAGAAAGAAAAAAAAGAATCAAAACACTATTCCATTACATCATCATGACAAAAAAAAAGAAAACAAAAAGAAAAGGAAAGAAGAAATCTTGTCAACAAAAAAATTCAGAGATTTACATATCATTCTACTTGTTTCATATTTCATACTATAAGATACTATAAGAAAATGAATGAATAATTGATTCAATTAATTGAATAAACACACATTCATTTATGAATTGGATTCAGGGAAACAATCAGTTAAAAAAAAGAAGAAATCATTTGAAACCGGTAACAATAGAACAACATTGACAATTTGAATGAATAAATGAAGTAAAAATAATTAAAAAATACAGTTTATTTTTTCTCTGTTTTTTCTTTCTGTTTTCTCTCAAAATAATGATAGAAACTAAGCGAATCATCATCTTCCACACACACACACACACACAAATAGTAATAATATTTGTTTATTTATTCGTTCATCTAATGACGACAAAATTATTATTATTATTATAGTTATATCGGAAATGCCTGAAGTTACAAAACCAAAGAAAAAGAAAAAAAACAAGCAGTAAACAATGTCTGAAAGCCTTAGACACACGCATACGCACACGCACTATATATATATATATATATATATATATATATATATGACGTTATTTTTGTTGTTAGTCTCCCGTTTTTCTTGTCCCCCGTTACAATCCCCGCGTAATGTACAATACAAATGACATGTAGTCTACAAACCTATATGTCTATGCCCGTACAATCTTTAATGATAGCAACAATAATAATAATAATAATAACGTATACATGTACATATGTGGATATCTCAATATGAAATCTAATCACCATATTAATTTAATCAAACATTATAAATCAACCACAAAATGACTAACTTAAATCCACAACATTTAATGATGACGCTAATGTTGGTGATAATGATACAAGAAAAGAAAAAAACAACATGAACAACAAAAAAAAAGACAATAAACAGAAGAAAGGAGAAAAAAAGGACAAGAAGGAGAAAACTACTGATTGAACATAGAGTATCGGATTAAAGAGTAACAGAGATGCATAGGAAAAGGAAGTGTAACTTACCTTCCTTTAAAGAAAAAGGATATGATTATTTATCAGTCAATTTTGTTAACATGCCACATGTGAAGGTTGTATCGTTGATAATGATGTTGAAGGATGATGAGCTACAAAAAAATTGATTTTGAAATTATAAAGAGAGAAAAGAAAAAGAAAATAATTAAAATAATATGGTATTTTCATTCATAGATCATTACTGAATAGTAAATGAAGAATGTCATATTTGTATCTAGCTATTATTACTTGAAATTTCACAGGTTGAAATCATGAGTCAGTTGAAGCTAGACCACCATGGAAAACCTGAAAGCACTGGACGGCCGTTTCGTCCTAGTATGGGACTCCTCAGCAGTGCGCATCAACCTGTGAAATTTCTAAAACTCTCCACAAAATCCATTCTGATAATAATCAACTGCTCACTAGTGACTGACTTCAGGAAAAACTCCTGGAGTTCTAGTGAGAAGCCGTTACCAGTGGAGTTCAACCAGGTCTGTTGTGAGATAACAACTCACTGAAGACAATGGTGTACGGTGGCGCAACTTATTGGATTGGTTGAAGTTAGACATTAACACCGTTGGATGCCGGCTCAGTGGTCTAGTGGTTAAGTGCTCGCACGCAAAGCCAGTAGGTCCTGGGTTCGAGCCCCGCGTGGTCCCATACTAGGACGAAACGGCCGTCTAGTGCTTCCAGGTTTTCCATGGTGGTCTAGCTTCAATCGACTCATGATTTCAACCTGTGAAATTTCTAAAACTCTACACAAAACCCATCCCGATATTATTACTTGTTTTAAAGAGTGCTAACCGATTTCTACTGACCAGTTATAACGTGGTGGGTTGAAGATGCTCGACTAGCTTTTGCCAACTTGCAGCATTTATGGAGTAGGGGAGAAATCCGTCTACCAACCAAAGGATATTTTCACTGCGCAGCAGTTCATTCCGTCCTACTTTATGGCAGTGAAACATGGCCAGTAAGAGTAGAGGATATTCGTAGGTTACCATTATCAGATCATAGGTATCTTCAAAACATTGCTCGTATATCCTGGGACCACCGACTAATTAATGCAGTTGTTAGGAAACGGGTACTAGGTAAGGATGGAAGATCAATTGATGATGTAGTGAAACTTCATCAGTTGAGATGGCTTGGACACGTGTTACGTACGCTCGACCACCGACTGCCCCGACGTGCGATGTTTTATGGTGTACGAGTAGGTTAGGAGAAAGTTAGGTACAGCCAGACCAAAACATGGCACAAATCCATGAAGTCACTGACAAGTGGACTGAGTCATGTAGGTAGGTGTAGACTACCTGGTTGGGATCCGGGAGACGATAGCAACCGAAGGTTAGAAACCTTGAATGACATTGCTCAAAATCGTTTGCAATGGCGCAGGTGCATCCACTCTTTGTGTTCTCCCAAGTTCTAATCTTCTGAATTATTCATGTCCTTTATTTTCTTTTCAAATATATTTCACTGAATTATACTCCTTGAATAACATATTCAAACATAAATCTTTCCGATTACTGCTTATACTTTAACTACCTCTACCACTATGGGATTTGAATCGACAATTGTATCTGTGTGCTAATGTGGTATGGCAACTCGAACTGATGTACGTACGTACGTACGAAGTTCTACGTTGTTGCTGACTGACTGGGTTGGAGATATTTGATAGCAAATCCTGAACTTAGATTTCGTGTTATTTGGTACTACTCAGAAACGTGTACTAGTAATTTTTTTGGGGGGGGGTGAATTGGTGCTACCTGGCAAATTCGATTCCAAAGCACTGAGCTTTAGGTTTAGAGATGTTACAATTGAGCTATCCAGGTTTCAATTGATCTCCTATATGACTGAGATGTACATACAATTAATCGATCACTGAATAACGATAAATGCTATGTATGTCAAGCCTATTTTAGTGCAAATCAAATTCTATCAATCAAGTTGCAATGTGACTACCAATCGCGGCCCGTATAGTTCAGTGGTAACGTCCCTGACTACGAATCTGGGTGACACGGGATCGAATTCGCTAAGGAGCATTAGTTTCTTCAAAATTACTGGTACAACTTGTTGACTATCACCAAATAGCATGAAACCTAAGTTAAGGATATCCGGTCGACTACCTCCAACCACCACATTATATATTAACATAGTGTATGTGATATCGAGTCACCTATCTATTTGAAATAAGAAGGATCTGACATACATGACATTGATCACTACCCTGTGATCAACCAATTGTAAAAAAATTAACTTGTCTAAGAGGCTAAATATCACACTCACTGTTGATGTAAAATGATTGGAGCTAGTAACTAGAAAAAACCAGTATTTAGGTCTCGTATTAGTATCAGTATTGCATACCTATACCGTCCCAAACTTTGGAGCTAGATGAAAAAAATTCGAATCTCAGAGGGACAGTTGAGATTCCCGGTACTGCTCCCCGGCAAGTATCATCTAACACAAAATCTAAATAAATGATTTCTTCCCAACTACTTTCAATCGCCCGGCAATTGTCATTTCATGTAGCCGTAGCTCAGTGGTTATAGCATTCAAATTTTAGCCACCAATATGTAGATTCAAACCCTGCTCCATTTGCTTCGGTTCGGGCAACCAGGTAATACTACTAAACCCCATACTTAGAAAATGGTTAAAAGAATATGTATGTGGTCACTGATTTATCGTTTAAATTATCATTACTACTTCCAAGTTGACCAATTAGGAATTTATCTGTTACATTAAAGGGTTCCAGATTCACATCTCAATTCACTTATATAGGCTTTTCCAACTGGGTAGGTATCATTATTAGCTTTGATACATAAAAATACGACCCAAAATCGAGTGCATGTACGCGTATATAACAGGAGATTTGTTATTTTACTCAGAAATCGAAAATCAAAGGAATCGGTGTACGAAAAACATCAGTCAGTAAAACTAATAAAAATAACTGCATATGTGAATTGCTGTAGATCCATGTATGCTCAAGAAACAAAAAATCGAATAACACATTTCATATAGCATCAGTTAACAGTAAGTACGGAAATCTTAGGTACAAGCTAATATATTTGGCTTTGAGTAACACTGTTTTGTGTGAGGGCTATTGGTACTAATATTCTAACCTCAATGATTCGATATTTTGTAATAAATATCAGATGGAGCAGTGACTTATTGATTAAAGTGGTGAAATTAAATTGTACTTGAAATATTGAGAGACTTCAGGAAGTGACCTTAAGAAATTTTACCCATTTATTAAGCTGAGTAGAAGGCAAGTGTTATAGAGGAGTTATAAATAAATTGTAGAAAACCCAAAAACTTGAGATGTATATACACTTTTTACATAGATAATAATCTTATCAAGGTTTGTAACCGGTTGATCGGATTCAAAATCAAATTATATCCTATACAAAAGAACTCGTTCATATGACTCTAGATTGTTTTAACTTTACAGCATTTAAAATGGGGGGGGAATTGTTTTTTAGATATGACTATATTGCTTCAATATTATTAGTGTAGATACCAGTTATAGAGTCACACAATTAACTGATTATTATGATCACATATCGCGAAGCACCAATACGTTATTCAAATATCTGTATACATGGTAGTCCTCGATTGCACACGTCATACATAAATGAATAATTTTTCTGTATCGGTTAGGCTATAACAAATAGACAACCTTGAAAGATCTAACAAACACTCTTGACTAAGTCCTGAGTTACACTAAGTACACCCTTACAAATACAATCTGCGTCAGAAGTAGACTTTTCTTGGAATTTAGCATTTACCGTAGTTACACTTATATATATATCAATTTTGAGCAGAAATTTCAGACACAGCTATCTTACATCTAATTGATTCGTCAGTATAGTATAGCTCTGTCATTAAAACATTCAGGTTTTACCAGTAGGTCGAAGATTTCAATGCTTCTTTGGTTTGAGGATCCAGGTAGCAGATCATAAATATAAAGTGTAACTCAATCTACGTTATATAAACATGTACTTACTAAGTTACTTAAATCTGTTTAGTAAATATCGAATTTACTATTTCTGAGCACACATAGAAATATAACAGTAACTTGTGTCTATCAATAGATAACAATTATTTGTAATTGGGTCATCACGTCAACCAGGCATATATGTTGGTATATGTTCATCCTATGCGGATTGCCTTGATATTACCATCTTATTTATTTATTTATTTAAACACATAAACATTGGTACAAGGAAGCATCAAATACATATGCACCAGATAAATCATTCGGTTTGTTTGAGGGCTGGGATACTGCCTGGGTGCCCAAATCGAAACAGGTGGTTTTTTTTAGGAGCAACACCCGGAGCCTTTGACCTAAAAGTCTAATCCACAAGGCAGTGGAGCAACGTCTGGAGATGCAGTCCCATGGTATCCGGCGACCAACAATTGGTTCATACGCCTATTTTTTCCTCACGATCCTGTAGTCCATGTGCACTACTAGTTTGGAATTGTGGTTTTCCAACTCCCATAGGTGGACTATCCATGTCCACCAAACCAGTTGAAGCGCCGTACATTCGCTTTTCGTCCTCTCAATTTCGTCAACAACGCCCTCGTCGCGAGATGATAGTGAGCAGGACTTCTCTGGCGGTGGTTATATGTACGTGGCCATGTGAGAGCAATTCAATAGGGAGAGCTGACTCTCCCTATCAATTTACAAGCATTATAAGCAGAGATGAATAGTGGCTAGCAGCGGAATTCAAGACGCGACTTTTTGTCCTATTCGGAACTCGTCAGATGGATGTACCTGCATCTCAGAGTTGATGTCCAGTCTGGGACTCCAACCCAGTACCGTCCACTTTTAAACGCCATCATGTTACCTACTCGGCTACTGAGTCCAGACAACTACTAGCTTGTGCAATTGGGTGAAGTTTTAATTCATTGATGTTAACGACGACAATTGATCAGTCTTCATAGCTCATTCAAATGAAATTTGTGATTTTTAAATAAAGATTTAAAAAAACACGAATGGGGATTATATGTCAAATAAAGATTTTTAATAGTTGAATCCAAGAGTCGATCTATGCTAAAAAAAATTACCATAATCTCCACAAAACGTCACTGTAATAAAATAAAGATTTCATATATTCTCTGTCTCTGTTTCTATGTGTCTCCTTCTCTCATGTATTGACTACTTTCAAAATAACGACAATATGACCTTTGTCTCTTTCTTGTTTTGTTTCATTAGGTCAACTTAAAACAAATATCATAGAAAAATGTGCGTATATATATATATATATATATATATATATATATATATATATATATTTAACGGAAGAAATGCGAATAACATAACGAAATAATTCAGATAACAGCAAGCCTATAAGCACACACACACATACACAATGTGTGATTCAACAGGACATAAAAACGATAGCCAAAACAACAACAAATACATAAATAAATAATGATCAAATAAATGATAAGAAACTCTTGTATACATTTGTAATATTGCTTGATTTGTAATGTCGCTAGTTCCACAATTAGTCATTTACAACTAAATGGGGAAATCAAAAGACGTACAGTCATACAAGGATTGACGTTATTAGTAACGTTTCAATTTCAATAATTGTGTTGTATCGAACACATTAGTTTCATCTAGTGACCGAGTGTTGTATATTGGAATGTTATTTTTACTAAACATTCTATTTCGAGTCTCTGAAATTATCGGCAACTATTTGCTATAAACATAACAGCGTGACGCAGTCCTACATGTCGAATGGAAAACACATATGTTGCAAAAATTAGAGCTTGAAATGGGATCTCGGATGAAAATTACACGATAACAGCTAGCATCAGCCCGATTAATGAACAGAACAGAGGTCAAACGTGCTGGATACATTCACCAATAGGTATCCGCTCGGTAGTTAAAAGGTGAAGTCTTAGCTGCGACACTTGAAGCTCAATCCCTAGTGTGGTCCTGGATGTGTAGTGTTGCTAAGGGGTAACATACCAGGACGAAACAACTGTTCGTTACTTTCAAGTTTTCAATGATCCTTCGACTAAAATCAATCCATAACTGCTGAATATAAAATGCTCAAATCAACTACACAAACCATAATACAATATTTTTCAATCAGCTTTTACAGTAGTTTCTATTATTATAAGGGCTAACCTGTACGAAAAAAGTTTCAAAAATTACTGTGGACAGAGCAGCATACAATTACAATGAGAAAACATGAATTCATGAGTCAAATTACATCGGTATTAAAAAAGGTAGATTTGAACAAAAAAGACAACACTTACCAAATATATGTTGATCTGTAGAATGAGGTGTTGACAGACTTTCATGATTAGGCCACTCTGATGAGAGACCACTGGTTTTTGATAGAGAATGTGAAGATGTTGGAAGAGCACTATTACTTTCATGTTGTGATGTTAACCAGTTGTGATGTGAAGAAGAAACAGGCGGACCACTACCACCATTAACGTCACAACCACCTTGATGTTGAGATGATGATTGTCGAAAATCACTATAGGCTGAATCCTCACCGCTACCCGAACAAGGTGCGTCACCTAGAGACCAACTTGTAAAATGATGTGGGACCGGAGAGAAAGACGGAAGTGACGGAGGTGGGTAGTCTGGAGGAGGAGGTATAATCTCTGCAAGTGACAGTTGTCTACCACGTGCCACTTGTTGCATAACACCATAATCCATAGGTGCATGATCAAATATTACAGGTTGAATCACTGATACACTAGCATACGGTGTAGCATGATCTTCTGATGATTGATTATGTGAACTATGAGTAGGAGGCAAAGGTAAACATCCATTCGGTAATAAATGAGTTGTACCATTGTGCATAAGCTCTGATGGACAATGAGTGCCTCCAGATAACACTAAAAAGTAACGATGAAAGAAATCGACTAAAATCACAAACGATAATAGTTAATTGTCAACAGTGAAATTATTAATATTTAGACAAACTTACTGACTTAAATCAAAAAACGTTTTACCATATAAACCTTAATTTATAATGCTTCATACGATGTTATTTATTTATTTATTTATTTGAACACATAAATATTGGTACAAAGGGGCAATATATATATGCGCCGCATAATAACAATGAGAATGTGAAGTTCAAATAGCAAAAGTACAGCCACAAAGAATTCTTCCACTTAAGGAGATCACGTCTTTTTTTATAAAAAAAAAAGTAAAATAAGGTTACAGCAGGATACACGAACTTCTCAACTACTTCTATCTGCTCACCATCCAGGGTGAGTACAGGATTAGAATCCTGCCAGTCTTGTTGAAGTACTTTGCACTTCGACGGCGCAAAGCACATACCATACCTACGGACACTGATTGCCAACTGATTAAGTGCGGATTGCATGCCTTGGGCATTATCGCACAGTAAGACAATATCATCCGCATACTCAAGGTCAAGAAGTCTTTCTCCAGGCAACAGATCCACACCACCATTACTTACATCCATCAGAGCTGTTTCCAGAATGTCATCGACGGCAAAGTTGAACAGGAATGGTGAGATTGGGCAACCCTGTCTAACCCCACTGTTCGAATGAAACAATGGAGAGAGGTGGTTGTATGTCCTCACTCTACCTGAGGTGTTTGTATATAGGGCTTTTAGGATGTTAATAAACTTCTCAGGCACACCCTTCTTCAATAGACAATCCCAGAGAACAGTCCTATCCAACGAATCGAAGGCAGCCCTGATGTCAAGAAACACTACGATTGTTGGTCTTTGATAAGTATGACGGTGTTCTAACATTTAGCGGAAGGTGAAGATATGATCAATACATCCTCGACTGGAACGAAACCCAGCCTGCTCCTCGCCAGTCAGTCTTTCTTACGTTTTGAACAACCTACGGAGTATGACGGAAGCCAACAATTTGGATGCAATCGGAAGTAAACTTATCTCCCGATAGTTCTTACAGGAACGAAGTGAACCCGTTTTAATGACAGGGACAACTATCGACTCATTCCATGACGTTGGTACACTCTCTAGTTCCCAGACTTTTGTAAACAACGTCGTCATTTTCTTAGCCAGAAAGTCACCACCATCTTTAAAAAGGGTCAGAGGTGAGTCATCTGGGCCCGGTGATTTGAAGCGCTTCAAGAGCTGGAATTCCTTGTGGACTTCCGTCTCATTTGGCAGATCAGTCGTCACGGCCCATGGAGGGAAGGACAGACTGATCGATATTGTCGGGGCAGCAGACCATTTGAACTGCCCTTCGAAAAATTCTGCCTATCCTCCAAGACGTCGATGGATGTTAGTGATTGGCATCCGATCATATTCATAGATTGTTCCGCTCACACCAGACTTCTTGTTGCCAATGGCTCGGATGAGTTGAAAAAGCATCCGGTAGTTACCAGATGCAGTTGCTACTTTCAAATAATTAACGCGCTCCAGACCACCAGGTTTCTCGGTCCTTATGCAAGCTTTGCCCAATCTCATTACGTAACAGTCGTCGTTTGTGGGCTTCAATGATTTGTAAGGAGCCTGAAGAAGCCCAGTGCTTATAAGCGGGACGTTTCGCGAACCCACATCTGATTTTACTCGCCATTTTCATGGCGTCGTGCAATTGCAACCAATGCTCATCTATACTTTTTGGTGGAATGGTAGCTAGCCTAGAACCTAGCTCGGTTCGATACTTAGTAGCAACAGAAATTGCAACCAATTTACTAAAACATCAATCCGTTTAGGACGATGAATTTATTGTCCACTGAAAAGTAAGGTAAGATTAGACAGAAAAAGGGTATGATCAAAGTCCAGTTAGGTACTCCAAAAAAGCGGCAGTCTTGTACACAACCACGTCAGCGGTAGCTGGTTGCGATGTGATCAATTTGAGTCCAGGCCTGAGATGTAGATGGAGGACGCCAGGTGGCACTTCGGCGATGACTGTGCCAAAAGTTAGTGCTAGCCAGAAACAGGTTGTGGTCTGTGCACAGTTGCAGTAGACAGTCCCCGTTATCTGTCCTGTGACCAACAAGTTCCCATCGGCCACCTAAACGACTCTCTTCTGGGCCTAGACATCCAACCTGAGCATTCAAGCCTCCGGCTAGTACTACAATATCTGTCGAACGCACTTTCTGGAGAAGAACAGAAAATTGAAGGTAAAACTCATCCTTGATTGCATCCGGGCTGCAATCTGTCGGGGTATAGGTGGAGATGACGAAAAGACATCATTTCTCATACCGATTTCTTCTACTTTGATGGAGCTTTCTAATCTAACAGCACATAACCGACTGTTAATGGGGATCCAATCAATTAGCGCTGCTCAGCTCTAACGCTTAGTGCGACAACGCCTGCAAGACCAGACGAAGATGCCACAGGGTCCCCGGATAAACGCACATAAAACAAGCTTTTCGAAGCGAAAGATGGAGAGCGAAATTATAGTACTTCACTAGAGTCTTGAATACGGGTCTCGGATAGACAACAAACGTCGATATGAAGACTTTCGGAAGACATAGCCAGCCCTATCTGTTGTCCGATCTGCGTTAGTGTGTGAACGTTGAAGGAGGCCAGTTTGAATGGTTTACGTGGTTTCAGAAAGACTGTTTCAATATTCGTAGTCGGTGGTAGCATCCAACTTGCAATCAGTCAGTGTCTTGAGGTTGTTTAGATAGGACAGGATTCCCACCATAGGCGAGCTGCTGTATAAGTCGAAAAGTAAAATACGTAAAATGAGAATAAAGGGAAATACATGAGCAAGCGGTTTTCTTAGGGGGCCACACCCGGAGCCTTCGACGTAAAGGTTTGATCCACAAGGCGGTGGAGCATCGTAAGGAGGTGCAGTCCCATGGTAGCCGGTGACCAACGACTGGTTCATACGCCATCTTCTCCCTCGTGATACTGGGGCCCATGTGCACCATTGGTTTGGAATCAGCATTTTCCAACTCCCCTAGGCGAACTCTCTATGTCCACCAACACTGTTAAAGCGCCGGAAATTCGCTTTTCGTACGATGCTGGAAAACGGTTACACTTATATGCATTACAGTTTTTTAGACCGATCCGAAAAAGAACAAACGCACTAATCGACGAAATTTACGAATTTGTGAGTGATGTAAAGTGGACGAAATTTTGAAAAATGTTACAAAGACGAATAGCATTAAACAAGTTGGACTTATATAGATACATTTAAATATTAACTGAGAATGAAAATGACAGTATTAGCTTTTGCAACATAATGTATGTGAAACATTATGCTATGTCTTACGATCACAAAACGAGGAATTAAAATATCCCTAACTTTTACAAAACACTTAATGAATACTTAATCAATTGGTTAATGAGAATATGGTTTCATCTTAAAGGGAAGTCAAATAAGCTGAAAAATCATTTAAGAAACGACGACTCAGAGACTAACTCATTTAATTTCCAGCCATAATGTCGTACATTCGAACTCGCCCCACCTAGTTCGGTATGGTCAATCGGGGGTAGTATTAGTAGCCACCCATACTTGCAGTCCAGTCTGAATGTGATGGAAGAGTTGAACTACGAGAATCACTAAAACCAGCGATCGATGGGACTAGCCGTTTCGTCTTATTTCAGAAACACCTTTCACAGAGTATAATTTAAGAACCCGAATAAGATAGCCCAACCGTTTCTGCTACCTTGACGTGGCTGTCGGGCTTGCTTACTGTGATGAATCAATCGAGCTATACTGGCTGGGACAATCGTTCTTCAAGGTCAAACCGAAGGTCCGAAGGCGAAGTCGTACTGCTGACTGTACACTAAATAGACCCATTAGAACTGAATTGAGTAGCGAGAAAACCAAAAGTAGGTTCCAGGAACAACTGAGGTCACACTTAGGTAGTTCTGAAAACGAGGCTGACCCAGATGTTGCTTGAAAAGATATGCGAACAGCTGTGGAAACAGCAGTGACATCTATCAGTGATTTAAACCACAGGGTTACAAAGAACCAATGGATTTCCTCAAGGTCTATTGCACTGATGGATTCTCGTAAACTCATCCCATCAGGCTCTGAACACGATGAAGAGCAAAACAAGACAGATATAGAATAAACAAAAGTCTGTGGAACGACCGTGAGCAGTGGTGGGCAATGAAAGCAAAAGAGGTGGAAAAGGCGGCGACTATAGGGAACACAAGACAGCTTTACAGACTAATAAAAGAAACTGGAATTAGTAAGTCAAGTGTAAGTGAGATTATATCGGAAAAAGGCGATACTCTCATCTGCTCCCAGTCCAGACGTTTAGAACGATGGGCGGAACATTTCAGAGAACAGTTCAGCTGGCCTTCAGCTACTCTACAACTACCCTCCATTCCCAGACAGTGTGAATGAAACATTGAAGTAGGTACCCCAACTCTTGCTGAAGTTCAAAAGACTATAGTTAATCTGAAACAAGGAAGAGCAGTTGGTCCAGATGGATTGGCTCTAAAGGTCTTTAAGGATGGTGGTCCAGTTTTAGCGATTAGGTTGACTAATATTTTAGCTAAGATCTGGGAGTTAGACGTTATCCCATCTAACTGGTCACAATCACTTATCGTCCCAATATACAAGAAAGGGTCAAAATCATCCTGTGACAACCACAGAGGGACTAGTTTAACTAATATAGTATCTAAAATACTAGCCTCGATAATTATCAGACGCTTAACTAAGACTCGTGAACTGCAAACACGAGAGAATCAAGCTGGCTTCAGACCTGGTCGTGGCTGCATCGACCATATATTTACCATTCGTCAGGTTCTAGAACATAGGTATACTTACCGGCGTCCGACAATGGGGGTCTTTCTTGACTTAAAAGCAGCATTTGACTCGGTAGACCGCGAGATTCTGTGGCAGTGTCTGTCATTGAAAGGTGTACCTCAGATGTACATAAACATTGTGAGTGTACTCAACTCTAACAATACTAGTCGAGTCAGAGCTTATGGCGAACTGTCATCTGCTTTTGCAACCTCAAATGGTGTCCGTCAAGGCTGTCCACTTTCTCCATTTTTGTTTAATTCCATTACAGACATACTGCTGGAAATAACGTTCACGTCGTCTGGATTTTCGGGCATCGATCTCCTACCAGGAGGTCCACTTATCGACTTAGAATACGCAAATGCTATAGTCCTGTTTAGTGAAGACACTGATAAAATGCAGAGTCCTTTGGCAGCACTAAGCAACAATGCCAGAATTTTTGGAATGCGTTTCTCTCCCTCTAAATGCAAGGTATTGCTTCACGACTGGTCTGCGTCAACACCTGAACTAAGGATAGGGAGTGAAGTAGTCGACGCGTCGACAACCTCACTTATCTTAGAAATTTGATCGGCCGTAATGGGTTGGTGTCTGACGAAATCTCAGCACGGATTCGAAAAGCTCGTTTGGCTTTTGCCAAATTACGTCACCGATGGTGAATGCGAGATATCCATCTATCAATTAAGAGACGAGTATACTGCGCAGTAGTTCGTTCTGTTCTACTTTATGTCTGCGAAACGTGGCCATTAAGAGAATATACTTGTAAGTTACTAGTATTTGATCACCGATGCCTTAGAAATATTGCTCGCATCTGCTGGGATCAACGAGTAAGTCATAGTGAGGTTAGACACAGGGTATTAGGGAATGATGGTAAATCAGTTGATGAGGTTGTGAATCTTCATCGACTGAGATGGTTGGGCCACGTGTTACGTATACCTGGACACCGATTACCACGACACATAGTGCTGACTAGTGTTGGTTGGAATTAAGTTAGGGGCGGCCAAACCAAAACGTAGCATCAGTGCTTGAAGTCACTAACTTCTGGTCACAATTAAGGCGCGTGACCACCACTGATATCCAGAACACTAATCAGTAAAGACTTTAACATAACCAAACTTAAACTCAATGACCAGATGAAGATTTATATACATCAAGATACAATGTAGACCTATTTTCAATGTAAAAATACATAGTCTAGTTCATAAAACCCTAATAAACCGACTAGTTTATCCGTTGGTTAATACGTTTCATACAACAGGCTGATCTCAGTTGGGATACCAGTGAAAACTAAGATCTATTTTTATTATTACATATAGTTTTAATAAAATCTCTTAATAAGACTAGATGATTAATAAAACACTGAAATTCGTTAATATATATCGCATGATAATAATGAAACTTGAATAACTTTAAAATAATAAACTTACATTGAGCACTACCAACTGGGATATTTGGAACTATGACAGCCGGATTATTGTATGAATGATTCTTTAAATTATCTATAGACAACACTGGATTACCAAGAGGGTACTGTGGTAAATATGTTGGCACTGACTGTAAACTCCCATCATTTGTTAAGGAAAATCCATTGGCCATAGATACAGAGTATGATGGGTCCATTGGACGAGTAAAACCATTTCCGTAAGATTTCTCACAAAATATAGGATCGCACAATTTTGGTGCATGGTTTCTGTCAGATATCATAGATGCATTTACAGAGAGAGGTTCCACCAAAGTAAGAGATGTAGCTTCTGTCTCCGTGGAAGTAGAAAAATTACCCATGTAAATCGGAGGCGAAGCTGTACCCGCTCCCTGTGTGGAATCAACAACGCCAAGACGTCCATTTTTGGCAATTATTTCAGCATCCATCACATCTAAAACAGCATGTCGGCGCCTTTGTCGCTCGCTTCTGTGTCGTCCATATATGATAAGAGCGAGACAAATGATTACCCAAAGTACACTAAACATAACCGCACTAACAATGAACCACGGTTCTCTGGTAAGGCTACCCTTTTCTTCGTGAATATTGGTAGTTTTAGAATTCATTTGTTCACTAAGCCCCTGTGGTGATGGACTTCCTGGATATAGGCTCCTTCCGTCATACAAAACCCTCCGGAAAATATTTCCAGATTCATACAGATTCGGATTCATTACTGAGAACTTGGATGGTGCTACACCTAATTCTGGAAAATGACCTCGTGTAGGATATGCAAAGATGTAAACTGGTAGTGATCTAACCCCTTCACCATGACAAGTAACTGCAGATAGATAAAGTGTATAATTAGACCATGGATCGAGATCATAAATGTGAAAAGATGACTGTTCAATCCCCATCTAAAATACATGAGTAATAAAATAATTTGGATATTTTCTACAAAAAATTTCAAACGGATATTAGTACTATAATTTGATATAAATCAAACCGTTTAATTTTTTTGAAACGATAGAAAGAAATTAGAGGAAAGTTATTAAAGACCATTTATTTTACACTATTATGGACCTCAAAAGATGCTCTAAGCAAAGACAAGAATTACTCCAGATTTGCTATATTCACAAAATTCAAGCACGAAATTAGTATGAAAATCAATTTCCAATAGTAAGAATTAAGACTGTTGAACAGTTTGAAAGAAAATAGACCACTATAAATCCGAAATGAATTCAGAACAATTTAGCTTATTGTTCAGAGTGATGAGGTTTTAATTTCTTTTCACATTATTTCTTTATTATCCTCGTCTCCTCTTACCTTCCATTTCTAGTCTAGTTGGCCTTTTATTTTTATGTATAAATGTTCTTAACAAGTATATTATGCGTGATCAGACTGTTCGAAATGTACTGTGCTAATACATAACATAGTTCTGATAATTTTCGTCTTCTTATTACACTATCGAAATTTGTCAAATGAACTAAATTATGAATAACAGTAAAAAGGACAAAACTAAATAATAGTCTATTTTGATGAATAAACACAGCTTCAGAAAAATAGTAAATGAAAGTCAGTTACTAAGTATAGATTATGTTTATTTATTTATTTTAACACATTGATATTGGTACAAGGAGGCACCAAATGCATATGCGCCACACAAATCTCATTTGATATATGTGAGTGCTGTGATACTGCCCAGGTGCCCAAACCGAAGCAGGATAGATTGTGTAGACAACTTTAAACAACACTGTGACTGTTGATGGCACTATTCGGTTGCAGAAACCGAAGTTGGATGGGGTTTGGACCTGTGACCTACTAATTGGAAGCCCAATACTTTAACCAGTCAGTAAGGGTAAACTTTATATTAACTCCAAAAACGGACAAAAGCTGGGAGACTGTAAGTAGCTAATCACACAATTATTAGCACTGTGTTGTTATTTTTGAAAGAAATAAAAACTGCTGCTCATAATTAAATTAACTCGAAATAACATTGTCAAATAGAACGTTCGATAACAAATAAATAATTAATTTGTCAAAGCAGAATGTCGAAAAACCTGAACGTTACTAAACGGTCAATTAATTCTTACCATTCCTTATAAGGTTACCTTTCCTATCATCATGAAACACTATGATCAAAAATTTGCATTCTTTTCATAGCAACGTTCCTAGGAGCTCTGATATGTAGTATTTCTTCATATCTCTTGTATATCTCATGTATTGTTTCCGTTATTGTTTACTATCGCTGCTAAATAGTATACAATTATTACATTTTGAGATGACTTACTGATGCTATGTAAACTCAGTATTCAGTAATTATAGCTTGTGTAGTGGTGGGTTAGTGATTAAGTTATCTGAATCTCATCCACGAAGTAGCAGTTTCAAAATCCACCCCACCTAATTCGATTTTAGTAACCTGATAGTATCAACAGTCCTCACAATTAGTATAGAGCGAGCGAAACCAAACACATGAATCTGTACCTGATGGTAAACGAGTATATGAACTAATAAAATAAAAACATTGATCCCAGAAATAATGCAGGCATGAAGTGCCAGGCAGTAAATGCCAGCTTTTCGTGTTTTTTTTGTTTGATTAATTGGAATATGGTAATAAGAAAATATCCAAACAATTGATAGTTCATGATTTAAATAACAATTACTATAATTTAAGTTTTATCTGGATAATGAAATAAAGTTTAGCGGCTGAAAGCGTTAAACTTTATGTCGTAGGCTCGAAACTCAGTTGATCTATTACACTTTGCGCAGCCAATTATTATTAGCCCAGATATCAGAACTATATATATATAATTCTCTGCTTGATGAAGTTAAACTGATTTTTCATGCAACAAAAGTTATGTATATACAAACAGTTAAATTTAAACTGATACTGATATGCATTTACTAATATTTATGCGACGAGATTTATCGTAGGAAAACTCCAAATCGACATAAAAAAGTTGTTTCTCGTACACCACCAATCAAATATTCAAAAGCAACTTCGAAACTGGCACAAATGTGCATGGGCCCAAGCTACTACAGTACATGACCACAGCTTTAACTGTATGTGGGATTAATGGATATTTTGATGGTCTAAGTTTATGGCGCGAGGCAATAAAACATATATTTTCCAATCTTATGAAGATTGTTAATGATAAAAGTGATTGTTTACCGTTATATGCCTCTGCAGCTTGACCCGAAGCATAGATTTATGTTCCCAGAATATACATCTAAGCGTTAATCGTATTAAATCTAGGCTAATGCTTCCAGAAATTAGTTATTAACTATCATTATAGGTTATAAATCTACATGTAATATTACAATTTTATCACATAAACAGGTGACTTATAACTAAGCCTCTGTACATATGTATGTGGTGATTGAGTGTCTGATCTATTAAATATGCACAGTGTTACCCTTATATTTCAAAATTAAAACTAAAACCACTGATACATGAAAATCCGGAAAATTTTATATTTAAATTAAGTGAAAATATAAGTAAAGTAACTTACATTGACAGTACGACTAAGTTTTAGTGCAGTACTTAATATTTTTAAAGAATATCCCGTTAAAATACCTCCACGCTCCCATTCATTTGGTGGATTCCAATCAAGTTGAAGTACAGTTCCATTTTTAAGCCAACGGACATTTGTTATTTGTGGTGCACCTGTTGGTGTGCTGTCATATGTGAGAGCAACTGAAACCTGACTTTTCTGTGAGAAAATCCTGCTATGATCTGGATGGTCAACAAATGTTTCAATACGAATAGCGTAGCATATGAATGGTCGTAAATTACTAATCGCCATTTTTATACTTGTAGTAGTCACACCTACATGGATGTAGTAATCAACCTTTTCACCATTTAGAAAACTAGGTGGGTTCCAGTCAAGCGATTGCTGTTTTGAAATCCTTGGTAAACTGCACGGAGTTATGTCATCTTCATAAGAGTCTAATAGATTTTCCATAGACTCGTCTTTAAAGGCACATGAATTGTGGTCTGCTTTAGGATAATGCGTGATGCCCTCTTTGATGTAATATCCATTATTATTGCTGTTAGAATTTATGCACCTAGACATTGGTACACTTCGGTAAGTTGCTTTAAAGCCGGTAATAAGAACCAAAACATCTGATGGACCACATAGGAACCACTCTGCCAACAACTCAGAAGGTGAAATCGCTCTAACATGTAGAGGACTAAAGTCTACAGACTGCAATTTTACGACCAACTCAGTTGGAAGATAGTTACGTGTTGATTCAGAAATTTTAGTAAACACCAATTTATTCAGAATGAAAGGTTTACCCACTCCATAATGATTTATGTAGCGGACAAGAATGTGGTAACCAGTCTGTGGTAACAAACCGTTTACACGAACAGGATTATATGGACCAGATGATTCCACAACACGCCAACCATTAGAAGTGTTGAACTCTGTTACTTCCACTTGCACACCTGTTATAAATACATTTTCACCAAGGCTACGCTTTTTTATAACGTCCCCGACAGAATAATCGTTAATTAAATTCAGCACAACCCATGTATCACCAATATTAGTGACTTTAACATCTTTTGGGGGATCCGGCAACAACAGATCACCTTCATCTCCAGGCAACAGGTACGTGCTACTTCCAGATGAACCCCCTTGAATTACTTGCACGAAAGAAGTCCGTGATGTAGAGCGTCTTGAAAAAGATGAAGAATCTTGAACTTCAACTTCACAGGTGTAAAAACCAGTGTCTGATACACGAAGAGCATTGATCTGAAGAGATCCGGAATTTAATATCACAACTCGAGGATTAGAGCTAGTGGAAACAGCAGAATTATTAACTAACCACTGTGTTACAATAGGTGTGAATGTATCAATGTTGGAATGCACTAATGAGTTTGAAACCTGTAAAGTATACTGGAGAACAGTTGAGTGGCACGGTAAAGTTGCAACCATCCCTTGAAAAAATGTCCGATTTTGGGGTCCGATTTCGATAAGCGGTAGGGATATCACAACAGACTCGATGAAAAGCTGAGCTGTTGACTTGACAATACCGGCTTTTTGTGATGCTTTGCATTCAAATAATCCTGCATCAGATAGCATAGTTGAGTTTATGAAGAGTGTCCCATTAGGAAATACCGAGTACCTGCCCGCTTGTAGTGGTTTCTCACTCGGCTTTGGTATCCAGAATGAGAATTTATCATGTAACCATCTGACGCTAGGAGGTGGGGACCCAGAAGTTAAACAATCAAATGAAACATGTCCACCAAGTGGTACTGTCTTATCCTCTGGTGTGACCACGAATATTGGTGGTGAAACTACAGATAAATGTGCGACAGCCTCTACATTACCGGCAACATTTTTCGCCTCGCATATATAATCACCGGCGTCGGATAACTGAACATGCTCTATACGCAGTGTCTTTCTATCAATTAAAGATGCTTGAATAATCTTGTTGCCTTCTCGTCTCCATAAAATTGTAGAATTGGGATCTTCAGAAGCCAAACACTGAAATTCTACAGAATCCCCAACAACAGCTTGCTTGCTCATCGGCGTAAATTTAAAACGAGGTTTACGACGAATAGTGAGTGTAGCCGACTTACTTTCCCAGTGACCAGCAGAATTCTCAGAAAGACACTGATATGTCCCAGAATCTTGACGTTTAGCGCCATCAATTCTCAAGCCCCCGCTTTCCATAACCCTAGTCCGTGAACTATCAACTATTTTCTGATTATTATGTTTCCAGTACACCGTAGGGGATGGTGATCCGATGGGTGGGATGCACTCCAATAAAACTGTCTGACCGAAATGGGCAGACTTACTTTCAGGACCAGATGCACTACTGGCATCAAAAAATGCAGCTTTCACAAGAGCGGAAGGTGAACTAGTCCAGCCATGGACATTCGATGCATTGCAATAGTAGTGACCCTCATCCTCTTCACTGAATGAAAGGAAAAGAAGTTCGCCAGCATTCGTAATTCTGTTAGATGTACCTGGTTTATGCCGTTGAGTTTCAACAACTTTCCCGTCTTTATACCAAGTGATGGAGACTATAGGTTCACCCTCAGCACGACAAAACAACCTAAGTTGTTGACGATGAAGCGGAAATGCATCTCTAGGATATTCAGTGAATAAAGGCTTTCGAGGTTCATCTTTGCAATCTACAGTCCACAGAATTACGATGAGCACGTAACTCAACAGTATAAAGTACATTAATTGAAATTATCCTGACCAGATATTATACCTGGTTAGTAAGAAAGGAAAAATGAAGAGCGAAATAATTCCATGTACATGTCCAAGTACAAAAAGCTTAATTAAGTTCATTTAAGATCCACTAGTGATGAATTATATTCAACATCGTAATTAGACGACAACAAATACTTCCCGCGTTTATTTTAAGTCCAACACTGCGCTTCAGTTGCTAATTTTGCTAAATGCTGTGAACAAACAAACGTCACTAAAAAGCATACGTCTTTATACAACTGTTGATCATTAGGTTAAAAAATTGGAAGCAACTCACAAAAAGTCTCAGTAATACTATAAAGTGAATGAAAAAGTTGTTACAACAATTCAGTAGTCCTAGTAAATGTAAGACGATAAATCAGTTTCAGATCAGAAAGGACAGGAGGTAAGATGGTCTATGTTAGACTTGGCAATGGTGGTCTCTTAGTTGGTTAATTTTTCAACTGTTGAAAGATAGAGTTTTAAACAAGTGCTGAGGTGATGAATTCAATTCGTTGATTATTCCATTGGAAAGTCGGTATTCAGCTGTCAAGTATTTTGTTCTGGGCTCATGAACTTTTATACAATGTCCTCAAAAATTCTCCGTTTGGAGAACAAAAAATCGGGGGCACATCAGACTCGAGTTTATCACTAAGTTACTTAAAAATTGTGGTCATGTCGCTTCTGGTTTTTCTATATAACATGGGAAAATAAATTTAGCCAGTCTGTCATCTTATGGGAGCTTAGTGATTCCATTAATCAGTTTGGTTGGGATTCTTTGAACGTGTTCTTGTGGCTCATTGTCTCTTTTTATGCAGGGGTTAGCTACTTGTATCCAATACTCCAGTTTAGGGCAAACGAATACTGTGTACAAAGTTACAAATGTTTCGGCGTCGACATATCTAGAGGTTCAACGTATTGACCTTAAGGTTAAAAACTTTTGATGGCTATCATATGGCAGCGTGCAATAATTTTTAAGTCTTGCCCGGAAATGACCCATCGTTTGTCTGGAAAACAAACAGCTCAATGTTATTCACTGTGTGTGTATTTGTACCCTGGTGACAAATATTCATCATACTATACTTGGAAGTATTTACCGAAAACTGCCGAATTCTGAGCTATTCGGATTATTTCCACAGATCATTTTGAAGCTCTTAATTGTCAGAGTCACTTTTACTCACCTTCCATATCCTAACATCGTCAGGAAAACCAATGATCATGAGAGACTAAGAAGGTCATTTATATACGGGATGAACAACAGTGGCGCTCAAACTGCGCCCCTGAACACTCCAATGAGCATTTTTTCAGCTAGACAACTTTAAGTCCGCCCACACATTTTTGATGCCCAATTAAGAAGTCTGTGGAATTATGGTCTATTTCGGTATAAGTAATAGTGTAATAATAGACCTAATCCCGAAATTATAGATATGTTGCAATGTGACTGCCTAATCTTACGTGGAAGTAACATCATTTTCTACACTGACTCATCGTATCGTAAAAATCACCAATATATGATGGAGAACACATTTCGATTGGAAACTGAAAAGGTATGGGCTACACAAGAATGCAAGGCCGAGCCATGCCATTCAGTGGTGTAAATCACCAGCGTAGATGATTTATGTTGAATACTGGAGGCCTACTCAATTTAGACGGGAATTGTGTGACGAACCAGCTAACTTCGAAGTCACAACTCGCGGTCAGTATCCAACGTGAATTACTCCTTCGTCGTACTGTGGATGCCTCGAAGACCGTACAACGCAAGGGACGCTATTAAGAAAATATATTAGTAAGAATGAGTACAGAGAAGATAGTGGGCCAGTTCATGACAGATGGTTGTTCTTAACCTTGACAGCAACCGATAATCTGTTCGATATTCAGTGATTCACCTGCCAGCTGATTTGGCTTGGGCTCAGTGACATTGCACTGGCCCTACAATACTCCCTCATCAGATTGAACGGCTGCTTGACTCGACACCAAACATATTGGGAGCAGTCGCGCGCCGGAGGTCACCGAACGATTATTATGAATCCTCCGGGTATTGCCGAGCTGCAAGACAAATGGAAAATAGGCGGCATGATCGGGAAATAGTGATTAATAATATGTTAGTGGGACGTTGGTAGAATATAATGCGATAAGCCATAGAAATAATAGAAAAAACATAAAGCTTTAAAGTTATGTAATGGTATTAGGCGCTAAGCACACAATCCTCACAGCTGAACACGAGACATCTGGAAAAATATATATTCAGCATTTAATGCATAGAAAAACCCAACGATGGAGAGAGCGGGAAGAAGGAATTCAATTAGTCCGGGTTGGTTGAGCGGCGTAGCTCGGCTTTGCAGGCGTGGTCATACTCATGCAACAATTTTTATACATGTTAAATATGTTGTTCTATCACCAGTCTAAATGTGTTTTTCATCACACTGATAATTGTTACAATACGATAAGTCAGAATAGACAATGATGTGACTTCCACGTAAGATCTTCTAGATTAGGCAATCATATCATGACAAATCTACAATTTTAAGATTATGTCTATTATTATTGCAGTACTAACAACGAAGTAAACCGGAATTCTACATTTGTAAGCGCGACTAAAGAAACGCAACGTATTATTACCAATCCTTATTTCCAGTTTATTTTTCTCGATCGATTTTTACCTATGTAAACCCATAATTCTATTAGCCTCCTGATTATTGTTTACATGCTTTATCGTATTGTAAGGTTGATCGGTACTCATAACTTACTAGTTCAATCGATACTAATAACAGGTCATTTATATTAATTGCTAGCTACCATGGTTTAGTAGCAATTACATGTTTCAGCGAAATAAACTTTTTTAAACATCAAGCTCTAGCAAATATGGCCTTTAAGTGACCTAAATAGACATTGGCTAGCAAAGCGAGCAAGAACTGAATGGTTATCTAGTTCTAATTCTAAATATTGTTCCTTCACACTTTTAAACTATGGACTATCCTGTAATATGAATTTTCGACCACTGCCTGCTTAATTTCCAATTTTCAAGTTCCATTGCCAAACAACAAGGATAACATCGTAGGAAATTACGATGAAACACAATTGTATGAACGAAGAGTATTCTTTTCAATAATTTCTCACCAGGTTCTACAATTATAAATCCAGATTAATAATCCATAAAATTGGCCAGATTTAAGGAAAAATACATAATTTGGAAACTGTAATATGTGAATCAGGAATTGTTTGTTATATAAATAAAATCGTTAATGTTAGGGCTGACTAATATAAAGTGTTAACTTGAATCCGTTTATAAGGGAAATAAAATTGTGAGATAAATTATCAGAACAAATATGGCCAACATAGGGTAAGAGAGAGAGAGAATATTGTGATTGCAAATCGGAAATTACGTAATATGTAAAGCAATTAGGTCAAATATGGTAGATTCAGGGTGAATATTTAATAAAATCCCCAAAAAGGGGTTATCAAGTGTAAAGACAATAATAGTAATAATAATAGTAACAATAACAGTAATAATAATAATAAGTTTGGGACATAGAACGAACATTAATCAGATTACGTCACCATATTATAAGATTGATTATTAGCTAGTTGGCCAGAGTAAAAGGAGTGGCTGAACATACTTCTTTTGGATACAAAGCTCTTGCTTTTTTATCCGAATAGCAATTGCTTCAGCCGTCTGTAGGGTTCGCAGTCTGACGGAATTAGGTAGACTGCTGTTGATACGATAGACTATTGCAAAAGATTGCTCCATGTTTGCTGTATGTCCTGTTTGGACTAAATGGTCTAAGATGGAACTGTTAACAGTTTTGACAGCACCTTTGCTTAACCACACGAGTAGGTGCTCACGGGCCCGAATGTACAAATTCCTAGAACATCTGCCAATATAACTTGCCCCACAGGAGCAGTTGAATTGATAGATACAGAAAGAGGTGGCTAGTCTAGGTAATTTATCTTTCAACCTCGGAGTGATTATTGGTCGTGTGGAGAATACTAGCTGTAATTTAGCTGCATTAAAATTCCTTTGAATTGATCTACTTAACTTAAGTCTTGACAGTTCACTCGGAGCGTCGCCTCTGAGTTGTAAGCGTATACGCAGAGACTTTTTATTTACCGTCGGGCATACTCTATGCTGTCTTTTATTGGCTAAGTTTTTATTTATAAATTTCTCCGGATATCCATTTTCTTTCAGGGTTGTAAACAATGTCTTTGTTTCATCTTCAATCGTATCCATAGTGCATATAGTCTTGATTCTATGATATAGTGTCTTGATAAGGTTCCTTTTTTGTTGTAGAGGAACGAAACTGAGAAAGTTAGTGTATTGACCCGTCCAGGTCATTTTCCTGTTTATGTTTCTTTTTAGCGATCCATCTTTTCTCCTTGTAAGCAGAACATCGAGGAAGGTTATTTTACCCCATTTTCTCTCTCACATGTGAATTTTATGGACGGGTGAGCTGCATTGAATTGCTCGAGTGTTCTTATCAAGTCCGTATGCTCGTTACAAAGGATAAATGTATCATCCATATATCGACAGAACAATGAAAACTTATCGATCTCTTGTGCCAGTGGGCCGTTTTCTAGTTTAGAAAGGAAAATGTCTGCCGATATGGGACCCCGGGGTGAACCAATCACGACGCCATCTATTTGTCAGTAGATTTCACCATTGAACTTAAAATGTACATTCAAAGTGCATTTTTATAATAATTCTTTGATCTCCAAGGGATTGTCGTTTCTAGTTCCTGCTTTCTAAGTTGTTCACAAATATATCCTACAGTTTCTCCGAGTGGGACATTTGTGAACAGTGATGCTACGTCAAAGGAAATCATCGTCTGATCTTTCGTGTTTATGTTTTGAATCCTGTCAACGAATTGGAATACGTCCTTAATACTATGTTTTACCAGGCGATTATGGAGTGGTTTCAAAACAGTTACTTGCCACTTTGCTACAGTATGATATGGGGAATCGCACATGTCCAAAATTGGCCCTAATGTGATATCCGGTTTATGTATCTTTGGCAGTCCGTATAACCTAGGTAAACGTGTACACGATAAAGGAACAGGAACCGTCTTACTTAACAAAAAAGATTACATTGACAAGATGAATAACATTTCGAATGATCTTCAAAAATTTCAGAAACTGAATAACCGAAAAGATGTCAATAATAAGATTGATAATGAACTGACCCGGACCTTAAAAGAAGCTCAGAGATCAACAGATTCAAGTTAACACTTTATATTAGTCAGCCCTAACATTAACGATTTTATTTATATAACAAACAATTCCTGATTCACATATTGTAGTGACTCACATTTATCACGAGAACACGACTGGTTTAATAAAACCAATTATCATGATAACCAACTGTACCAGTGTTTTTTTTAATGTGCTTTTGTTTGACTGTGCTAATGGCAGCTATATTGTGCTTCCATTCTTATTCTTACACTTTGATTGTGACTTCGCGCGAATTCGGTTACGTTCTGTAACCAAGCTTGTATTCTGGCACGATCTCGGTATCCTTTCGATACCACGAGATCGCCAGCGAATATATCTCGATTTGGTCCATTAATTGCCTTCTGATATTTGGCTTCTCGGGGATTTTATGGATTTATTTGGTTACGTTCAACCTTCGCCTTCTGATTAACTTGGAACGTGTTTCTTGGTAGCGGTGTTCATAGTTAATCTCAACTCGATGCCACGCTACAATATTACAATTTCCAAATTATGTATTTTGCCTTAAATCTGGCCAATTTTATGGATCATTAATCTGGATTTATAATTGTAGGACCTGATGAGATATTATTGAAAAGAATATTCTTCGTTCATACAATTGTGTTTTAATATAATGGGAGTTTTTCAGCGATTAAAATTACGATGAGTTTAAGCTGAGAACGTTTTGCAATCATAAGCTCAATTTAGATGGTTCAGAATTATCTGGACTCGTTCATTTGGCAAAATCGTTGACAGAACCAATAACTTTGGAATTAGTTGCCATACTTCGTATTTCAATCTGGTAGCTTTTGGATCATTACAAATATTTCCATGTTATTATCCTGTTTAGGTTTATATAAATATTGGGCAACTGAAAGCTATCAGGGGACCAGTCAAACTGTTCCTCAAGGCGTCCCACACATCGTTCTAGTCCTCCTGATCTAAGAGTGGATCACTATCTCACACTTTGTAGAATTAGTCTCACTGCCGCTTGAATTTTTGGTCTTTGTTAGTGTGATAAGCCTGATAATTCGTATATTGTACCAATCACCTCTGCCTTTCCTATCTCTTGTGCCTTCGCTGCTCATTAATTTGTCGCAGCAATTACGGTATAAAAACACTACAACCCACTACAAAATTAATGATCTGTAGATGAATATTTTCGGATCGCAAATTATAATATATTCAGGTAGCTTGCATCAGGTGGTGCTACAAACTTCTGCTACCTCAGAATCACCTTAAAACAACAACACTTATTTCTCACTGGCTAATCAACAATCAACAATGCAACTAGTTATTCACATTGGTTCCAGGATATCGTCATAAAGCATTGTCATGACTTACCAATCACCTAATATGACTGATGACATTGATGAAACTATCGACAAAGTCGGTCAACAAATTGACATTCAATTATCACTGAATAGTGTTGCCTTCTCGTTAACCTAATCTATTACAAATCATTTCAGCATGTTAATCTGTCAGTTGCTCATTCAGTAAGTAAGTTAAAACCTTGTTGGTTTGATTGTTGGTTCAGCGACAAAAACACGCATGCGACCCATCAGTATAAGCAGCCGAGCAAGCCCCCTACAAACTGAAAATATTGCTATTGAATTTATTACAACACCGACTACAGTTCATATCATTATCAGAGACATGAACTGGTAGTTGTAGTTCCTTTGGGTACAACTTATGTTCTCCATTATAATCACATGAGCATCGCTCTCTATCGATCATCTTGTAAAGACTTATTTGGTCAAGAGCATGGCACAACAACATGTCACCTTTATTTGTGGCACATGGGCACCGTCGATTTCAATGATTAATAAATAACATCGACACAGCATGGATTCATTTTCTATTTCTAAACACAATATAGTTGTACTACCTACAAGTTAAGTTATTACTACACATTTTACTGCGACTTAATAAAATACATTCACAAGAAATCATTCCCAATTATTATAATCCCACTTTGTATAGCTCTTAAGTAATCTCCACCAAAATTTCCATTTTGCGAGCGTCAAGAACTAAACCAAACATTCTGAAATTATAACGTGTATTTCCCGACCAGTTGCTGCAAGCTTCTTTCTGATTTATCTTTCGGCTCATCAACAACCGAAGGATTCTTATTATTCTTTGTAACTCCCGGTGCGCGACAATCCCATTCGATATGGCATCGAAACAACATCATTCTGATTCTGGTGGGAACGTGGTGTAGTGGCACTGGCTCTTAACTACGCGACCTTTAAAGCTGAGCATATAAATACTGAAAAGAATTAGCTTCAACGACTGACACGAAGAGAAGCCTAACTATGGAGAACGCGGAAACATTAGTTCAATTCTATTGGATGACGTGGCTCAGCCTTGCAGACATGGTCATTCTTGTGTGACTTATCTCTTATTCGTATTGGATATATATTATTCTTTTTTCAGCCTAAGTGTGTTCTTCAGAAATATTAGACCTAATATTGCTGATTCTTATGATACAGTGTAGGAAATGGTGTGACCTCCGCATAAGATGTTACATATTGGATGGTCACATCTTGACAAATCTGTGTTGTAAGGATTAGATCCATCATTACAGAAGCATTAATAACGAACTTACACCATAATTCTACGTATAAACTTCATACAACAACTTCATACAGTATATTACGTAGCACTCGTAATATTTTATCTTGCCTGAAAACTGACATCCTTCACGTAACAAATCGTAAGTTAGAAACGAGTAATCAATATTATTCATACTAATACTGTTTAGCAATCGAAAGGCTAGTCACTTTTACTTGAGAATTCAGTGATATACACTCGATGGAACAGTCGTGACTAGTTTGGCTAAGTCGTTAGCAGCTCAATGCAGAAATTGATCAATCTGTATTCATTGGGCTCAGATAATTATGAGTCTAGTGTCCTGAAATGCAAAAAATAAAGATAAAATTAAAAGATCTCCAAGCAGTCTAAGCTATGATTGTCTTGAACTGTAGCCATACATGTATGAAGTTCATTCAAGTTTAATTAAATTAACCTCAAGCGTAAAAACTAAATACTCTATCATTCATGATGAGTCAACCGCCATCGCACAGTAGCCAGACTTAGAGCACACATAAGCTTTTTACAGAGAATAACCATTGGATAGCCTCTGATTACCTAGAACCCTCTACAATTCACTTGAAACTCAATAATCAAGGCAGGTAGAGCATCTGCTTAGCCCCCCTCCTTGTCACAAACCAATGGAATTTATAAAAGCTCGATTGACCACATGTCTTTCTGCTTGATGAGAAACACAAAGCATGTTGAAATCACGACAAACGTATACATAAAATGATTCGAGACGTGGGGAACCATTTTTTGAGCCATTTATTTAACACTATAGACTGCATTGAAGACAAACGTTGAACGGTAGGAAGTGCAAGGGAAAAACTCCAAACTCGTAGCAGCTATTTTGTGTCCCTAAATCAGCCATAATCACAACAGCACTACGAAGCGAAATGATTAAAAACCAGAAATAACATCAATAACATGGAATTACAATTTTAGAACATTTGAAGGATGGAGATATACAAAACAATAAAGACACTATCTCTGGTCCGCCATGGAAAGCCGGGATGAGCTTGATCCAGATCATATGAAATAAAATGAGCAACATGAATGCGATTATAAGGAGAACATTCAAATGGATCCCAACAACGGCATTTGCAATGAAAATTTAAACCAAACGAAGTCAAACACAAAGCAATATATGCCATTCACTACAGCTTACAGTGATGGTAGAAGTGTTGCAAATGCTGCCATTGGCAAGCGAATTTTTCGCTCGTTATCATAATTGTCAGAAACATGTTGATTACACCTAGACCTTGTTATAGATTTATTGAGCATTAAAGTAATTAGGGTGGCGCGCTGTGGAAGGTTATTCATTACAGTGGGTTTCTCCCAAAGTTGTCCTATATTTGCTAATTACTACAGAAAGCGACTACTCAAGTCAAGGAAGGTTTTTTGCATCTTCGTGGTACGTAATCTTGACAAATATGATAGTTCTTCACTACGCTGCGATAACGTTCGTTAGGGCTTGAAATATGCTGCAGCCGCCCAATCTCAAGATTGGGATAGGGATCCCTATTTTGGGAAAAGTTTTATCCGTTTTGGGGAAATTTTAAAGAATCTGCTATATGAAACTCCGGGGAAATGGCACAACAATCCCAAATTTCCCTTGATCTGAGGAATTCCCCAAAATTGGGAGATTGGGCAGGATTGCTATCAATTTATCAAAAAATGTCTTGGTTAAAATCAAAGTTAGGCTGTAAGTTTTGTTGCTTTACAAAAAAGTGACGATACTTCTAATGTTTACATCACGAACTGTCGTGCTACCAAAGATCTATCTTAAATCTTGTCGGTTCGTCAGTCTCGTCGAAATTTCAGACGATAATACTTTATAGGTCTCGAAAATAAATCATTTTTTATCGATATTTGATAAAGCCGTACCAAATGTATAATCATCTTGTGTAACAGTTCGCCCTCTTTGTCTGATTCTGATATTAGTTGGTATTTATATTGTTACTCTCCCATTAAATCTACCTGTCATTGTTTTAAGATTCCGGCATTTAGCACAGAAGATTCCAATCTAATCTCGACAAATTCAACTTAACTTTATCCTTTCAAGGATCCATTCGTGAGTAAAATCCAAACGCGTAAAGAAGATGGTTGAGGTTAACGATGGTCGCCATTTTAAAAATCCTTACCACGATTATATGCCTGGAGACCAGCTTAAAGTACTTTCAGTATTTACTTGTGCACCACGTTCCAGGTGGGAGATACAAACATCCCAAACAAAATTGTCGAACTGTTAAATGTTCTGAATTCGAATTTCGAGAAGTTGTCGTCGTCTGACGTATCAATGTACACGGGCTTGTCAGGTGAGTGTTATGTGTTTTAGTCATCCTCAGTCAGTGAATCAGTCATATGCAACGTGGAACCTGACATATTTATGGATCGGTTCAAGCTGAAACATACCATCAGAACAGCGAAACGAGACTGTCAGGGCATGTCTCAGAAAGGTAGATATAGTAACAGTATTAGTGGTAACGGGAGAGATTATGTCTGGAAAGTACAATTCGAGAAAATATGAATTTGTAGAATGAAAATATGTAAAACAGTTTAGAGATTTCATATCTAACGGAATGCACCTGTGACATAGCGAAGAATTTTGAGCCACGTCACCCAAAGTCTCTAACAATCGGTCAAGACCATCACGCGGACTTAACCAGACAGTCTGAACTTAGTAACATGGCCCATTGTAGTGTCTTAATGTATTTGAACTAAGCCATGGTTTCAGATTGAATTAAATGACTAACCAGAAATGTGAAGACTTTTATGTGTGTATAATGAATTTTATGTTCTCCTTTGTTTACGCATACAGGTATTGTATTTTTGTAAGACAGTAGGTGTGGCCCACCATGTCACATCAGTATATACGTGCTTCCAAATTATTAGTCATTGAAAGTCAAGTGACTGATTGGCTAATTCGATCAAGTGTTGATTCATATACCACATATCTAGTCATGTCATTTGAATAAATGTATCAGGATATGCCCTTCAATTTGAAGTAACAAGTCATAATCAGATTCTCGGAGAAATCCACCTGTTCATATTCTGTACTTCTACTGATGAGCTGCACTAAGTGTGAAAGAAATATAATGTATGAACCACTGAGTCGACCAGTGAAATCCGTCACTGATCGTTGTTAGTGTAGTTGAACTAACGATGTTCATTTGTAAAACCTTTCATTGAATGTTGTTAGTATTGTGTTCCAGATTGGTCGTATCCCATTGTTTTGATATCGTTAGCAATTTATTTGGGACCATTCAAACCCACAAACAGACGTTGTCTACACATTGAGGTGTAAGAAATGTAGTCGTGTACTTTAGAATTTGTGAATAGTATGCAAACCACTCGATCAACTTGTGTTTCTTTCTATTTGTTTGTAGGTGTTGGACTATTCTACAATTTCCTATCACAATGCAAATGTGAATTATTAGACAGAAAGATACGTGAAAATGGTGTTGTATGTACTGAGAAATTGTTAAATCGATGTCTACGTCACATAAACTTAAAAGAGTTATCTAAAAATATCAGTGTTTACACTAGCCCGATCGGCCCACTGTGTTTAGGTGCTTTATCATCAGCCAAGCATGGAAGTGAGAATACAGAGGCAAAGAAGTTCGTAGAAGACATTTTGTCGGCGAGTAAATATGGCTTGGATGTGGACTGTGGGATGCCTGATGAAGCGTTATATGGACGTACTGGCTATCTAAATTGTTTGATAACACTTCGAGAAAATAATTTCGACATCCCTGTTTCTGTTGTCTCGTCGGTATGTGTTTGTGTATTTGTTACTGCTTTTGAAGTGTTTATTAATGAATTGTTTGTGCTTGATTGTGCAGAGGTGAATTACTAGAGAAGTGAATGGAAATGTTTGTTGCTCCAGTGTTGTTCTAGATAATTTGTCGGTTTATGAAACTGGTTCAGTTGAATAATCCTTACAATGATGTGTTTGTGTCCACGGCACCACAGGCGAGTTATTGCAATGCATGGTATAAATCCGATTCTCATGACCAATACTAATCGTTGAACCACAATCATCCGTTCTACGTTCCATAAAAATATTCAAGTGACTCATACTGTAACGTTTTACTCATCTTTTCAAGTATTATCTCTTGTGATTGTTTGTGCATAAAGTTACGGCCAAACCAAAACGTGGCATCAGTGCTTGAAGTCACTAACTTCTAGTCTGAGCCATGCTGGTAGATGCAGACTACTTGGTTGGGGTCCGCGTGACTATCGTAACCAATGGTTGGAGACTCTTGGTAACATGGCTCAGAATCGATCACAATGGCGTCGGTGTATACACTCTGTCTCCCCTTAAACTAAGAGATTAAAATTGCTTCATATCTTTCTTTCTACGAACTAATTATTTCTTCCTGTACTATATCCTTATTGTAATCTTTCTTTTATATATTACCACCTCTGAAGGAACTACTTTTATGAATCCGATGTCCATTTTGTTGTGTTAATGAGGTATGGCAACTTGGACCGATGCATATATGTGTCTGGTCCTACTTTGTAGCTGACTGACTGACTGACTGTTTTACTCATCTCTTCAAAAATTATTTCTTGTGATTGTTTGTGCATAAAGTTGCGGCATTTCACTGTCTGATTTATGAATTTATGTGTTTTTCCGTGATATGAAAGTAGTAACATTAATGATAACAGTTTTACTTCAGATAACAGATGCTATATTGAAGTCTGGTCAGAAAACAGCTGGTGCTTACAAATCGAATGGTTTTATAATCGATTGATGCACCAGTCGTCGAAACGAGATTTGTGCATGCCACCGTTAATATTTGAATGGTATAATGAATGTTATCTTGGGGCGGCGCATGGTTTTGCTGGTATCTTGACTACTCTACTGAAGGTAAGTTATTTGAACATGATGATATTTTTTGGTTGGTTTGTAACACAAATCATTGAATAACTCAGCTGCTTATGGGAAGATTGTTGACAAACATAAGTTAAATAAGCTTCACCAGTGAACTGGCTACCAGTAACCCATAGAATTTGATTTTCTGGAAAGTATGACTTGTAACTAATTCATGGCTACTAAAATAAAGAAGTTTGACATTCTGCTCTTAGCTTACTAGAGCTTGGATTGTGTTTGTTGATTAACTTTGTCTTCGTTTTATTCATCTTAGTTTGATATCGAGCATTCATGTAAACTTATCAGACATAAGACAAAATAATAATGTTATATACTAGTATATTATCTATGGTGGTCATAATCTTCACTAGAGAAATTAGGACTACTAGGATTAGTAGAACAGTTTTCTAGAACTCTGTTGTCTACTTAGGCAAAGTACGAATTACTATTTATATTATTGTTGTTGAGTCTTGTGTCATTTCAGTTTCGATTTTCCTTTCTTTTGAAGGTATATCGTTTGTTTCCTGGTAGCATATCATCACATTCCTTAAATCAGTTAGTTCTACCTACTGTCGATTGGATGAGTCAACTTCAGTTATCCAACGGAAATTGGTCTCCTAGTTTAGGTGATAGCGAAAGTCATGACATATTGGTTCATTGGTGTCATGGTGCGACGGGTGTTATTCCACTTATGCTCTCAGCTTACAAGGTTGGCTATAATATTTTAGTGAATGATTTAATTATCGTCAAATAGTATATCCTATTGCAATGAAAGCATCTTAGACGTTTAAATATATAACTACCATTTTCAAAAAAGTATGAAAATCGGATTCGCAATATGTAGTGTACATGAACTCAATGATTTCAACGAGATAACTAGTATATAAACTGAATCTGATCATCATTTGCTATCGGAATGCATGTGCTGACGTTTCTTATTCGCCTCATGATTAAGTGATTATCTAAGAAGGCCGTTTATCTTGAACATTCATTTATTATTACCAAATACATATGCGCCATACAAATTTCATTTGATATTTGCGAGAGCTGTGATACTGCCCGGGTGCCCAGAGTGAAACAGGTGGTTTTCTTAGGGGGCCACACCCAGAGCCTTCGACGTAAAGGTCTGATCCACAAGGCGGTGGAGCAATGTCAGGAGATGCATTCTCATGGTAGCCGGTGACCAACGACTGGTTCATACGCCATTTTCCCCCTCAGGATTCTGGGGCACATGTGCACCATTGGTTTGGAATCAGCATTTCCCAACTTCCCTAAACGGACTCTCCATGACTACCAACCCTGTTAAAGCGCCGGACATTCGCTTTTCGTCCTCTGAATTTCGTAAACAACACCCCTGGTGTGAGAATGCAATGAGTAGGACTTGTGTGGCAGAGGCTATATACGCGTGGCCATGTGATGATAGCATTTGGAGAGGGTGAGCGGACTCTCCGTACTCTCGGCCGTACCAGGGAATTTGGGGGCAATCTTAAACCATATAACCGGGTAGTATTGCGTCTTACATAAAATGCTGGATTTTTCGAAAGTACTCTTAATACACAAAATAAATCATAATGCATAAAAACCTATATGTACTGTCTCGTGACAAAACGTTTTGTGGAAACGTTGTTAGACGAGAGTTTCCTGAGCAAGGCTATGAGAACAAACATTTCGTGTCCAATCTGTAATAGGATTATTATTATCAACCACCAGTGAGTCTATGAAGTGGCGAAATAGGAGTTAGAAACTAATCAAACTGCACTTAAAATATTCTCCTTCTATTTAGATAGATATGTATGATTTTTAAAGTTCATCGGTAGTTTGTTTACTGTTATTTAACCTCTGTGTTGTTACATTCTATAGATTACAGGTGAAAATAAGTATTTGAAGTGTGCATTAGATGGGGGAGAAGCTGTATGGACTCGTGGTCTACTTCACAAAGGCTGTGGTCTATGTCACGGTTCAGCTGGTAGTGGTTTCGCTCTATTAGAGATTTATCAAACAACTCAAGATCCCAAATATTTGTATAGAGCTATAAAGGTTGGTGTCAGTTCAGTGACAGTGGTAGTTCAATGCATTTAAAGTATATGTATTTTGTCTTTTGTTTTTTGAATATGTGTGTATTACAAACTTTACAATGTGTCATTATATTTGTTCTGTATATTGTGTATAGTTTGAAGTACAACATTGTAGTGTTTCACTTGAAATCCTCATTTTTCTGTTCACTATTACGTGTTTTGAGTGGACGGTGTCTGAATTCACTTACCTTTACTCTAGTTTGTAATGATATTGTAAGTTGGTGAGGTACTGGTGTATTTTCACGTTACTCCATAATTATCATACTGTTATATTTTATAGTGTGAATGAGTGTATTTTGTTAGGTTATTTGTGTATAGTTGTGGGTAGATGATTTATGTTATGATCTGTTGAGTCAGGGGTTGAAAACCATTGAACTGTTCTATGTTTATGTAGAACTGTATTACAGTCATAACAAATATGTATCATAGATGTAGTTTGGGGCTGAACTTACGTGTGGTCACTGTGTTTTTCAATCATTAGATTAGACGCAAAGCTAGCTGTATTTGTACCGGATTCTATGGAAATACCGGTTCCCCAATGTGTACCGTTTAATTTGTGTCCAAATAAAGTGAGTTCCTTGCCTGGATTTCTTATTTACCGTCTTCAAGGTTCTCGTTTCCCTGTTGAACACTACCTGTCATAGGTCTCACATCTTTTCATAAGCTCGTGTTGTATTTAAATGGTCGTCACCTATCGAGGCGTTCGACATTGGAGCAGTTGGTCGCCACTCAGTTATTTGTCATTAAGAACTGTTTATCGACCCATTGATTTGAACTGACTGCTTCGATGATGATGTTAAGTCAGCTGTTTAACTGGTTCTATAATCATAATAGCGGTTACCTTTGAGTGATTGTTTAGTCAACATCTCGATGATCAGGTCGATGAACATAATATTCATTTGGCATGATATTTTTCTGTCTTAACCATCTGCGAAGATTTATGTGGCTTTTTGAATAGTCAACCGGACAATTTAAATCAAAAGAAACTCATGATTGTTCAATGTTTTTACATTTGCTTTCCAGTTCGCTGAATGGTGTACCGACTGTTTTAAAAATGCTACTCGCGTTGCTGATCGTCCGTACTCACTTATGGAAGGTTTGTTTAGTGTGCTTTTCCATTTGTAACTAAGATTAATCCCTCTTGTTGCTAATATAGTTTCACACTAATATTACACGTTAGTCCTCACTTAAATGGTACCCACCAGGAGTTTGTGGAGTGTTGTGGAAGAAACTAACTTCGCATTGATGTGTCTACTTTTGAGTAGTGATATTGCGATAGGAAAGTCACATCTTTTCATCGGTTAATTGACAGTGACTCGTATCCAGTTTTTAAAGTGATGATAGCCTACTGATCGGAATATGAATGGTCAATGTATTTTCGGTGTGCGGATAGGTGATATATCGGAACGTCTGGAGAGTGTGAACACAGAATGAATGTATGGAAATAGACCTAGAATTGTGTTGAGCTTTCCAGTTGTTAGCAATTAGTAGTGTATTGGTCAATTGAAACTACTCACTTTTCTGATCTGTTAGGATTTTCAGTTGAAATGATTGAATAGGGAACTACTTCCACTTTCCATCTCCGTACGTAATGTTTTCTAGTACGTAATCTAGTATCACTGTTCCATTCATGCCGTGTGAATTTGTCATGGAGAAGGGTGTTAGTGATTTGATTGGATCGAATTTTCGACTGTTAAATCAATGAATAGAATGGTAATCGACGGATGGACACGATGATGGCGAGTGTGACCGAGTGGTTTGCTAACGTGACTGTATTACCGACGGAAGCCGCCAAGTGATTATAAATCAGAGAGAAAACGACTAGCCGGATGAATATCTTCCATATGTGATAAAATAACATGGTTATGTAGAGACTATGAACACACAATAAGCACGACAAACTGTCGCAACCAATTGGAGTTAATTAACATGTAGGTCGTCGATTCCGCAATCAATTAAGGTTTGACTGTTAGTCCTAGTCTTTGTGCATTGTAAGAGAAGTGTAGATGTATGATGGATTGTAAAATGTTATGTGTTAACAATGAAGTCATGTGTGAGACAGGTGTCCACGACAGGCAATGAATAATGGGGGTTGTGCGACATTGTGAATTGGTTGAAGTTAATCATTCACACTGTTGGATGACGGCTGGTTTCGATTTCCGTGTTTTGAGTTGTGGATGTGCATTCGTGAGGAGTAGTCCCTAAGTAGAGTGAATAATGGATGCCATCGTCACAGTGTATTCTCCTCCTTCCCTTGTCATGAATACTATTCTATCGTAAAACAACAAACTATTCGATCTTCTCATTTCCAGTTTGTTATGTAGAAAGTTGACTATTATTTATCGGTTTGACTGAATTGTATTTATTATTTTGAAGTGATAGTTAGTTCAGTGTAACAGTTTGTTTTTTGTGTTCATATTGTGTGTGTTTAGGTCTTGCTGGGACACTGTACTTCCTTGTTGGTATTTTGGATCCAGTTAATTCGAAGTTTCCTCTACTAAGTGGATTGTGAATAGAAAGAAACAATGATTTTACTTATATCTATTCAACTAACTTTGTCTGTCATTTTGTACTCACATCTATTTGTTCATCATTCACTTAGTTTATGAGAAAATGTTATTTGAGTTTCATGTCTGCCGAATAGTTCACATTTGTTTTAACGATATTATATTCAGTGTATTTTGTGTTGTATACTCTGTTTAGTCTAAACCCGTGTGTGAAAATGCCAGTTTAAGGCATACTGTGTATATTTAATGGTGTTGATTGTTTGAATATTTGATGAGCATCGTACTGTGTTTGCGTTTGTTTTCTTTAAAGTTGATAGGAGAAGTGAGTAGTCTGACAAGTAATGGATATGTAGAAGAGACGTGGATGAGTGTATACATATGGTGAAAATATTGTTAACTGTAATGATGTGTCATGTTTTTGTAATTGCACTCACAGTATATTTAGAATTGCGATTTTTGTTGGACGTTGAGAGCTAGATCATAGGAGCGAATTTTTGTTAGTGTTGAAAGATAGTTGTTCGACCAACATGGTGTGTGTATAGGTGTGATGATATGAGATTTGTTTTGCCTCCGGATCAACATTTCGACAAACTAAGTCAACACTTAACAACTCATGGTTTGTAGTTTAAAAGTCATTTTAATATTTCATACATGTATTGTTTGGACGTATTTTACAATGAAACATGCCCCTCGAAAAGTCATTAAGTGCCCAGTAAACTCTTGGGAACATTTTTTCGAATCAGGATTGAATGAGCATTTCTTCGGAATATTTTAAAGGAAAGTCATGGTCAACGTAATAAATATAGTGTGGTGTGTGCTACTTATACGGACAGATATAGGTAGTATGTGGTGGTTATGGGAAGTTAATTCCTTGCTGGGAGAAGAAGAGAATGATGAGGAGAAAAAGAAAAACAGCACTGGTAGTAGCAACAAGAATGGAGGCACGATTGGGTTTGTAAAGGTCAACTGAAGGAAGATGTGCAAATGGTGTGTTGGATGTATTGTCTTTATATTTTACGAATTCAGTATGTAATTAAAGACAGTGCATTTAGTTCACACCTTCCCATGTCTTTGTACTTAATAATCGGTGTCGCTGTCACTACACAGGATGAAGATTCCGTGGTCACTGGAGTTCGAGGAAGGAGATGTACGGAGTGTGTTGAGAGAGTTTGGGACTGGTGCGTAGATGGCAGGTGTGTAGAAACCTAAGGTGTCGGTGCTGGAGACGTTACTGAGAGGCAACGGAATGGGTGTATGACAGCGTGGATAATGCCGGCGGGAAGACGGCATGGGAGGTAGTCACGGAGCGGTTGTTATAGACTTTGGCAGTCAAGTTTACTGGAAGAAGGCACTGAAGAAATTTACGGTGAATTTCGATCTGCTAGTGTTTCCAGCGTGTCTAACCTTATTGTTACTTCGTGAGCCATCGATTTTGAATGAGTTGTCTGGCTTGCTGGCGTCGAAGTTTATTGAGGACTACAGCATGAGTTAGCCGCAATACGAATAAACAAGTGTAGAAATAATATATTTTAAGCCTGTGAGGGAACAGGCCATTAGAAGAGAGACTGAAAGCCGAAACACACTGTTTGCATATTTTCCTTGAGTTAATCATCACAAACACTACTGTTCTTTCATTCCTGTTGCTAGCACCATTGCTTTCTGTTTTTCTCCTCTCTTTATTATCCCCTTTTTCCAGAAAGAGATTAGCTTCCTATATCTGTCCGTATAAGTAGCACGTACCACAGTATCATGATTGTATGACTCTCTAGACGATCAAAGTATGATTATATTGAATATCGACCACAAAAAATTAATAATATGTAATTATATTAGCTGTTTCATGACTGGTCATCTACTATTATGTATGCGTCGCCAATTGTTTTGTTGGAATCGCTTATACTTTTAAAATGAAGAACCACTGCAGTTTCCACAACGCGATGTAAGAACATCAACACTGGGACAAGTGAAGACTTATTAACGCCCAAAACACGACAACGACTGTAGTCGAAAATACACTTGTTACATATATTGACTGTACACCCAATTTGATTATGAATAAGGGTGAAATCACATATTTTTTTAAAAAAATACCCCAAGTTATAATGAATTACATTCTGCATTTTATGCTGAACATATTTCATGTGGATTCAATAAAGGAATATCGTATGCTGAACAAACATTACACTCAGATAAATCATTGTTATGCTGAATAATATATCATACTGGAAAACGAAAACAAAATACTACATTGTGTAGTTATCACATTGAATTAAAAATACAGAAGTAATATTGTACAAAAAATTACAATGAATGAAAGAATGCAATTTCGCTTCTTAATTCCATCATATCACTTCCCCTTCTTTCTAATGGAATGCGAAGAAATGAGTTTTCTATGGAGAGGAGTCTATTTGAATGGTTTGTGTTCTTTTTCCTATTTCCAGTGAACGTGGCTGATCATGTGGTCGTATTTCAGCCTCCAGTTGGTTTTTCGTCTTCATTTTAGAGAAAAAAATTTAATTAACTTTCTGATTTCTATGTACTGCTCCTTCGTTCAATGCATACACGATTCTCTCTCTCCTACGAAACAACGTTGGATCTTTATGTACACATGTCACATATAATGTGACTTTATTGACCTGAACTGTCTTAACACTACTCACATCTTCATTATAATAGAGTATTAAGATGTGTAGGTATACATGAAGGTTGAAGGATCCTTGTGTAAGATCTCGGTCTGTATGGGTAATATTATTTATGGTGATTTCTCTGCATTTCATTACAAAAAATCAATGCAATTATTCAATTCACAATACGACTAAGTACATTTTACATCCCGATTTGTCAGTAAAAGTGCATGTGATTCATGTAGGCTCGGTTTGTCTCCAAAGCATTTGAACGGGACATTGTTTCTGGATCATACTCGTTAGGATCAGTGTGTAATTGCATTCTACATACAGGTATATTGCAATCGGACTGACATTGAATTATTGAAACAGTGTATACTTTTTCTGCATGTGAAATCCACTGTCCGAATAAACAAGATAGATATCATCGGATTCGTTGGATATTTGTATATAGCTATAACATATTGGAATTTGATGGCTGCTCAATTTTCCAGTACTTTGTGTAAATTGTTCGTATTTAACACTTTTGGCGAGATGGGATTCGTTCGCTTGTTTTCTTCGTTTGGTCTCAGCTTCCTGAGATAGGTATGGAGTTTTGAGTCAACGTCTAGTATGGCCGCTTTCATCTTAGACTATCCTCATTTCTAACATAGCAGGTACCGAGCCTCATCCCGACTAGGGTGGTCGTCGTGTTTTGGGCGTTAATAAATCATCGCTTGTGCCAATCTTGATGTCTTTACATCGCGTTGTGAAAAATGCAGTTGCTCTTCGTTTTACGAGTATAAGTAATAAACGATTCCAACCTAACAATATGCGACGCATTCATAATAGTTGTTAGTTAGCAACAATGTAGAAATTCTTACTTACGTGCATCAGTTCGAGTTCCCATACCACATTAGCACAGAGATGGAGTTATCGATTCAAATCCCGTAGTGGTAGAGGTAGTAAGAGTATAAGCAGTAATCGGAAAGATTAAGGTTTGAAGATGTTATTCAAGGAGTATAATCCAGTGAAATAAACTTGGAAAGAGCAAAAAGGAATATGAAAAATTCGAAAGACTAGAATTTGAGAGGACACACCTGCTCCATTACAAACGATTTTGAGCCATGTCATTCAGGGTCTCTAACCATCGGTTGCTATCATCTCGTGGTCCCCAACCAGGTAGTCTACACCTACCAACATGACTCAGTCCACTTCTCAGTGACTTCATGGACTTTTGTCATGTTTTGATCTGGCCGCCGCTAGCTTTCTTCCAACCTACTCCTATACCACTGAACATAGCACGTCGAGGCAGTCGGTGGTTGGGCATACGTAATACGTTTCCCATGCATCTCAACTGATGAAGTTTCACTACTTCATCAATCGATTTGCCATCCTTACCTAGTACCCGTTTCCTAACAAGGAGTATAATCCAGTGAAATAAATTTGGAAAGAGCAAAAAGGAATATGAAAAATTCGAAAGACTAGAATTTGAGAGGACAGTCGGTGGTCGAGCGTACGTAACACGTGTCTCAGCCATCTCAACTGATGAAGTTTCTCTACTTTATCAGTTGATTTGCCAGCCTTACCTAGTGTAGCGGTAAATAAGTCCCCAAAATAAATAGCTCTGTAAGTTTTCGACATTGGATGCTGACCACATGTTTTAATGGACTCACTTAGCTGAAGGTGCTCGGTCATGCATCCGCACCAGATCACGTGTGGGAACGCCGTGCTCAACATCTACTACAATCGCTAGCCAGATTAGATCAGACGATTCTAGATATATTGATATCACATCAAATATATCTTCCGATCTCCTCGATTCTGCCTTTTGATTTCTCTTGGTGGGTACGAGTTATATTAGAAGGCGTTACTGGTTAAAGCGTTGTCAAACACTGAATACCTGTGCCATCTTCACTAGTACCCGTTTCCTAACAATTGTATTAATTAGTCGGCGGTACCAGGATATACGTGCAGTGCTTCGAAGGCATCTGTGATCTAATAATGGTAACCTACGAATATCCTCTACTCTTACCGGCCATGCTTCACTGCCATTAAAGTAGGACGGAACGAACTGCTGCGCAGTAAACCCGTCCTTTGATTGGCAGACTGATATCTCTCTTACGCTATAAATGACGCAAGTTGGCAAAAGTTAGTTCGTCACACACCAAACCACAAAGGCTTATAAGAATCAACATAAGTGAAGTGGTTGACTCGCCCAACTACGTCACCCTTTATCATTAGTTCAAGTGCCGATGCAACCCGATCCTGAAGCAACATTTGCATCTCGAGGGGGGGGCGCATTCCGAACATGTTTGCATTGTTGCTTACTGTGGTCAAAAGACTCTGCATTTTGTCAGCGTCTTCACCAAATAGAACTATGTCATCGGCATATTCTAGGTCAACAAGTGAATCTCCAAGTAGAAGTTCAACCCCTGGAAATTTAGATGAGGAAACTGTTATCTCTAAAATCACGTCAACAACAAAGTTAAACAAGAATGCAAAGAGTGGACAGCCCTGACGAACACCACTTGAGG